TCAGTGTAGTAACAGTACCAAATTTGGGCATATGACATCAATTATCAGCGCTCCAAGTGGTGAGGGTAAGCATTTTGGCTATCGGTTTCCGGCGTGTAGGATGGCTGACTGAAGTGGATTCGAGGCGGCGTTAGGGATGTGGGAGGGGAGGTTTAGGAGCCGATATCTCCGCCTAGGAGTATCGTATTGACAAGCGATTGGTCTTGTTTTAGAGAGCAAAGAATTCTGCTTAATGCAATACCATGAAATTATTCTAGACTCGCAGGCAAAGTAGAATAATGTTGTCGTGAAATAGCACTATTTCCCCGTTTTTCCGTTGTACACTCTAGGTATTATTAGCTCTTGATATATATGTAAATTCGTTATAAAAACCTAGAAATGGGCAAAGAGGGGTCCGCAGGCGTCCGGGGGACCGGATCTGATAAATTTTTGCATTCTAGACATCAAAATTATTGCTCAGATGCTCTCAGAATGCACCAATTTAAAAAAAAAAAACCTAAGTGGCCTTCTGCAGCTTAAAACACCAGAAAAAGTAAGCAGGAAAAAGTGCCCTTTACTTCTTCCTGGACACCCCCTTTTCAAAAATCCTGGATCCGCCCCTGGACATGTACATGGCACAGATTTGGTAGTAATTATTTTAGTCTTTGGTGTCCCCAAAGGTAAAAATACTCAACTCAACAGTGATGTTATTGTGATAAAGATTGTTTAATAGTGCTGCCTCATAGTGCAGGAAATTGCATCGAAGAGGTGTTACTTTCAACAAAATCTCCGGACCCCCCCCTCCTAAACAGGAGGGGGACACGCCCTGAAGGAGGAAAAATCCTGATATTCTATGATAATTTAAAGATGTCCAAAATTGATTGCTTTTAGATAGCAACTTTTTAACAATTCCACACAGTGGGAGGGTGACACCCCACCCGGGCGCTTCGTGCCCTTGAGCTCGCATGATTCGCCCCCCCGCCTAGAATTTTCTTCTGGATCCGCCACTGGTTGTGTGTGTGGGGGGGGGGCGTGTTATTAAACCTCTGGGATCCAAAGAAAAAAATTACGCCAGAATTCACAAAATTGCACTTACAATATTAATTTTTTTCAATTCCCTCAAAAACGGCCATCTTGAAGGTTCTAAATTGCTAAAATCCAAGAGCTTCCGGGGCCTCCGCCCCCTGAACCCCACCCATTAAAGGCTTTGCGCCAAGGCGCTCGCGGTGTGCGCTACTCGCTCACACTCTTCATTCGCACACAGTGAAATCATCCCCCCCACAACTGAGGACCTGTCTACGCCACTGGCTCAGATATATCTGTTTCATTTCTATAGGAACTCCAGGGTTAACCATGCACCTACCACGGCTACTGCGGGTGCAGCCAGAAGCTCTTGTGTGGACATGACACTGTAGTAGGCAACATTCGTAAGAATGTAGACAGTAACACATGCCAGCACGCCATAAATGAGTGCTTGAGTTACAATCTTTGCTGGGTTCTCAATCTCTTCAACAGCAGTAACAACCACTTCCCTGAAATAATGTGCACTAGAATTTATCTAGGGTAGGCCTATGCAACATGCATGACACAATGCAGCACACATTGCATGACACAAGATACACCAAAATTACACACACGTGCATGCATGTATGCATGTGCCTGCACTCCTCCCTGCAGGTGTGCATGCCTGCGTGTTGTTCTCAGACAGGGTTAGGGGTTAGTTCGTACCAATAAAGCCAATACCAGTTCGGCCAATAAGCAAGTTCGTAATTACAGTCTCGAATTATTCCGGGTCAGGTCATTTGTGAAAAATATTTCGTATTTCGACCACACAGTACACGTAACACATACGCATGCATCTCTGTCGTTGTAATGCTACAGTCTTCGCGTGCGCACGTACACATGCGTGCGTGCGTGCGTGCGTGCGTGCTTGGGCACGTACACGTACACATGCGTGCGTGCATGCGTGCTTGGGCACGTACACGTACACATGCGTGCGTGCGTGCTTGGGCACGTACACGTGCGGGCGTGCGTGCGTGTGCACGTACATGTACGGGCGTGCGTGCGTGTGCACGTACACGTGCGGGCGTGCGTGCGTGTGCACGTACACGTACGGGCGTGCGTGCGTGTGCACGTACACGTGCGTGCGTGCATGCGTGTGCACGTATACGTGCATGCATGCGTATGCACGTACACGTGCGTGCGTGTGCACGTGTGGGTGGGTGCGCGTGCACGTACACATGCGTGCGTGTGTGCGTGCTTGTGCACGTACACGTGCGTGAGCACGAGGAGTAGTCGAGTGAAATTATATCACCGTGACACTGACTTGTATATGCTGTTCAAAATCAATGCTAACTAACTAACTGGAGCCAAAGAGCGTCAATGCCTATGTGAGGATACCACTTCACTTCTGCTGTTACCACCCTTCTCACATTTATCAAACCACTGGCATTTATTATGGATGATGATGTTGCTTTTCTTGCCTCTACTCTAGCAGTGATGACAAATGTTGCGCCATAGTCTATGTCAACACACTTCACAGTTCACACGACTCTTTAAACTTTAATTATTAAAATAATAAAGGCTGCAATATTTTAGGTTTCACTATTAATTCTAATGGTACTGTGAATTATTTATGCCATTATAAACATAAGAATAATTACTAAACATTAATTTTAACAATAAAGTAATTTATGTCATCACTGCCAGGGGCAGCGTGAGCAACAACATTGCAGCAGTTACTTTCATTCCAAACATGTAAACATTCCAAACATTAACTTGCATACATTCACTTATAACTTTTAAATGAAAAAATCCATATGTGGCATAGTTAATATTTAAACTATGCAAACATATTGAACTCATTTAGATATACGCGTAGGCCCTAGTACAAAATTAGGGTAATTAAATTATTTTAATGGTACATAACATTTCTAATAGGATATTACCATCCAGAATATGCAAACATGCCAATGTAGAAGGCCAGAGACAAATCCCCAAGGTTAAATCGTGATCCTTCCATTGTGATGTTTTGTGTTTCACCTAAAAACGGTGGAACATATTTTATTTAATTATTCAAAATATAAAACTTCACTGCATCCCTAAACATGCATTTCATTGTGTATCACTCTACAAAGCTCGAATTAGGAGTATTACATATCTTTATAGCAGTCACATTCACGAAGAATGATATACTGGGCCCAATTTTCCAATAGAACATAATAATAAAATATACGTGCATGCAGAACCCTCTTTACTTCCGTTTAAACCTCTTCATTGAAGAGTTGAGATGACTACTATTCAATTAATACACTTAAAGTATTCTTAATAAATTTTAAAGTTTCTGTTTTATTAATTACACGACTTTTAAGTGCATAAAAAACTTCCTACACAACTTAGTATTGAAAAATAGAAGACTGAAACAAGCTGGCACTACAGCAATTGTATTCGAGCATAATTATACGCTTTACAGTCCATAGAAATTGTTGAGAATTGATGAAGTGACACTTCATTGGCAAGTATAGCAGTAACTAGCAGTATAGCACTCATTAGCAGTAACAAGTATTGGCAAGTAACTAGCAGAATGAGTAATGTAGTTATACCAATTGTAAAATATATGTGATTTGTAGGTAACACACCTTTTATGAGGTGAAAAAACCCCACACATATAATCACTGCTAAGGCAAGCACTTTGCCAACAGTGGTCACCACTTGAAATGTTGCTCCTGATCGCACGCCTATGTAGTTGAAGTAGAATACAGATGCTACATAGAAAAAGAGAAATTATATATCACTTATATTAAACTATTCTACTACTAATTGATTACACGTAAAAGTTGAACAAATAAAAGGTGTAGTTTAGAACAGAATAGGGCTCTAATGGTACATTGCCGTAGTCATTAAACACTATGATATAATGAATAATAATCATGCCCATATTTGTTACATAAGATTGAGATTTCTCTCTATTAGAAGTGTGCCAACACGGAACAAATTCCTGTATAATTTTTATTAACACAACAAAAACTCACCTATGAACAACAGAGCTAGCAATTGCTCAGATAATCCTGGTGGTTTGCATCCTCCATAAAATAGTTGTAAAACGTATGTAGCACCAGTCTGAGCTAACACTGCGTTACTTGCTGGGCTGCCTAGAAACATAGACCATAAACTCACGAAAGCCACTAGAGGGCCAAAGAATTCATTCATATACGTGTAAATACCACCGGACTTTGGTATGGTGCTAGCGAGTTCAGCATACAGCAATCCGCCTAGTAGTGCTAGAAGTCCACACAAGCTCCATACTATGAGGGAAAAGCCTGATGATCCAGTATGCTCAAGGACGCCTTTAGGGGAAATAAAGATGCCTGAACCAATTATAGATCCCACTACATAGGACATGGCACTGACTAAGCCCAGTTCTCTCTTCAGCGATACCACTTGCTTGACTTCCTCAACCTTGTGGCGAAATTCGCTGGCCACATGCTTAAGTTCGTGGATGAGATTTGGAGAGGAGGTCTCCAATTCAGGAACATCTGTTTCAACTGGGCGGTAGCCTTCTCTACGCCAATGTAGATTTCTTACTTGATCCATATCACTTAGGGGATGTTAGGCACATCTATGCCCCGATTCCATACCAAGAATTCTTCGATTCCCTATAAAAACCTGTTATTAAAAGAGATCACTATATATACACATCTCCTACATAGTTATAGAATCCTCAAAAATATATAGCTTAACCATAAATTCTAGTCAGTTAGATGGTTCGTCAATGTTTTGCAGGGTCTCAGGATGTGCTCACACTCACAGTTGACAGCAGTGGGTGGGGCCACCACTAGAGGTCTACGCACAGTACCTGCGCTCCCACCCGTGCCTGCTATGAAAACACGCCCCACTTTCGTCTATACAATCTGGTTGTGGTATATCAATCAAGCCTGCTGCCCATACATTTAGCACTCAGAGGTTCGCGCTATATTCAGCAACTATACTGTCATAGCCAAATGGCACTGTGAGATGAAGCCTTGTGCACATGTCATGTCATGCATATCCTGCAATTGAACCTTCACTTTTATACTGGTGTTAAATTCGAAACTAATATGCATCATTCTGCATCTCTAAATAAAGGATTTCACAGAAGAACATAGCTGGAAACTTCCTAGACTGCTGACCCAATTAAAAAAATGTTGGTTACATGGAATTCGATTAGTCTCCTATTAGTGTTTCATGGTACAATACCAGTGAATTAGATATTAACCTAGATTGTAGCCAAGTCGATTTATTGTTTATTCTAAAAGAAATAACTGTCACCCCCCCCCCACCCCACCACCACTGCTACATTCCACTACGACCCACAACTCAACATGTCTTGACCAACGTGATGTTGGTCAAGACATGTTGAGTTGAGGGTAAAGTCAACATTTTGTACACATTGGTCTGCACAATATTTCCACGTTTTAAGAGCTAGCCTCCTATATGTTTTCACTGTTCTCATATTAACTCTGTTTTAATGTTATCACTAAGTTCTAATGTTATACACTGTAGAACTCTCAGTAGTGTTACAGAGTATGCATGTACAGTGTTTTCCCTGGCCAAAAAGGTCTGTGAGGTGGTAAATGTTTTTTGTGATGTGTTTGCGAATTTCGAGATCCTAGCAAAGCGAGCAGCGCAGGTGCTGGCCAAGCTAGGGGGTCCGGGGGCATTCTCCCCCGAGAAATTTTCGGAAAATATTGTGCAATTTGTTGCATTCTAAGCTATTCTGAACAAATTGTATTAGACTCTTGAATATCTTTTTCAAGTTGTCTAAAGGTTCGTCAGCGAGGCAGTGTTTTGGACAAATTTCGGTGTGGCGGCCCGCCTCACTCGTGTCAATTCAGGTGAAACATTGATGTATATTCGACCAAACTGCCTATCGCAGAGTCGCAGACGCTTGTCGAGTATTTTATGCTATACTAGGCTACACCATAGCCGAGAGTAGAGACTATACTGTAGGCTATACCGATACAATAGTATAGTATCCATATTATCCTATATAACGTATAATGTACGGGGGCCTGTAATGTAGGCCTTATGCCTTCCAAGCAACAGTGGGATCATTGACATTGTGCTGTTTACCGGTGCATGGCGTTATACTTACACAACACTGTCACTGTCACAGGCACTTGGAGCGTTTCAATAAAATATAATGCTAAATAAATACGAAATCTATTTACTACGAAAGTCTTAATGTTTCTATACTTTCTTTCACCTATTATTGCCGACAATTTACTGCAAATGCAGTCTAAATGCTCATCTACAACAAATGCTGGCTGCCGCCATGGCTGCCGCTGCACACTGACACATAAATATATAGACACACTAGCCGGTGCGCCAGCGGCAACCTTACGCGGGCTATAGTTACTAGAGCTATGTCACAGATAAACCGACCAGGCTCTACGACTGTCACACGGCCAACGTAGTGTTAAAGGCATAATAAGCCCATTGCTTATGCAATGTTGACGAATGCTAGAGTTACTGGCGCCTTGTGTAGTTAATAAGTGCATAACCTTACAGCCAAACACGTATTGGTTTGTCCAATATCACTGCTGGTTACATTACAAACAAGACTTGAAATCGGTTGTTGATATGTATCAAGACAACGTATCATTTACGTGCCGTAAATGTCATCCAGAAGTCAAGCGATGACGTAAACATTTGTGCGGCCCGTATGTTTTGGACGCCAAATGAAATGGAGGTTTCAGCGGTGTAACCACGGCCATGGACTAAACATGGAAATGGAGTAAAACACACATACTAATTACGGATGCACATGGACAGCCCTGACAAAAAGTTCCTTATCACGAGCGTCCGTACGTGTTTACGAAATCACTGAGGATAGCATTGCGTACGGCCGAGCATGCGTGCGAAAATGTCCGGTGCACTATAAATCTGTATCACACCTGCGCTTCGCCGGCAGCGGTTTGAAACTGTAAACAACTGATTTCTTGGACTGCGGATTTCAATTAGACATTTCTTAGTAACCAGCAGTGATATTGGACAAACTAATACGCGTTTGGATATAAGGTTTATGTCTGGTTATGTACTTATTAACTACACAAGGTGCCAGTTACTCTAGCATTCATCAACATTGCATAAGCATTGGGCTTATAAGGGCCGGACACACTAAGCGATTTTAATGCGATCTAATCGGGCGACTTTATCGCCCGATAGGAGCTGGCGAATGAGTCGGGCGACTGAGAGTGGACACACTAGGCGAATATCAGCGCGATTCATTGGCGATTTTTCTCCCGCTGCAACACTAAAACACTCGCGCCACCTAGATTGATAGTCACATGATTGAAAATGGCACCGTTTGATTGGCTGATGAATTGTACAATCGGGCGACTCATTCACCGACCCGGACACACTAGGCGATTGAGTCGCGCGACTGAAATAATCGCCCGATAATATCAAAACGTTTTGATCGATGCGATTGAATCGGGCGACTAAATCGGCTAACTGGACACATTGTCATTGAGTCGCCCGACTGAGTCGCCCGATAAAATCACCTAGTGTGTCCGCCCTTTATTATGCCTTTAAGCGAGAAGGGAACTTGTGGCTATGTCACAGATAATCTGTAGACTGTAGGCCTAGGGCCTAGCGACTAAAATTTAAAAATCTAATGACTAATGTTGAAACTTCATGATTAGGCCGATGAAAGTTGATGTCATGGTTCTCGTCAGCGCCCGCATCAAATTTTACTCCCGCACCAAAAAAGTTCAACACTCATCACTGACGAAATTCCCGCATCAAAAAGTCCCCATATGAAACTCCCGCCTCAAAAAATCAACAATCTACAGTCAGCACTACATGTATGGAAGACAAACAGTAAAAATTTGAGTAAAAACTGTCAACAAAGAAGTTATGACATTTTTCAATATTATTTTGCATATGTACAAGACCTGATAGTGATACCCTCACTAAGTTCTATTGGTTTGTAGATGAAAGATGAATGTTGATCTAAATCCCTCATCAAAATCTCAACAATGCCTGACGAGAACCATGAAATCAACTTTCATCGGCCTTAGGCGTCCTTAGTACCTTACTCCTTAGTATTAATTGCTGAGTCGGTGTTTCGGTACAAAGCCGAATTTCGTTGACTATCACAGAAAAATATACAATGTACTATATGTAGGTATTCTGCTGAGAACATATATACAATATTGTCAATAATAGGCCTATGTTGGCACTCCGTATCTGCGGGCACTGACGTGGTGAGTCTGGTGACTGGTTCCCC